CTTGTTAATTAAATCCAAGCAAAATTCTCCATATCAAGATGATGCAAATATGCTCTTTCCTCATAATTGTGGGTAGTAAGTAAGTTTTCTACTCAAATACGACAACATGTCTTTTCATTAAAATCAATCAAACAAACACCAATTTATCTTTTTTAGATGAACTACGAGGTTTTGAATCTTCTTTGAACTTTGAAGATACGTAGGCACGAGTCTCTTGAAGTCTTGTCAAACAAAAATTATAAAAACAATTTCTATTCTCATCTCCTCGATTTTGCAAACAACATTTTTTATAACACAGATTTTTAAAAAGGTTCATGCGGCGTACCGTAGATGTGAATGATGCTAATACCTTCCCTTTGTATAACCAACCCCTATATCCATATCTCTCTTTTTATTAGTTTTCTTTTAACATTTTTTTTTAGTTTTTTTCGACCTTTTCCCTTTTCCTTTGGAAATAATAAAGTTCAGTGGCGACTCTTACTTTTTGAGTTAAGTTAATCAATAGTTTAATCTCAATTTTCCCGCCGCGATACATATGAATCTTGTAATCATTCTCAAGTAATTGACCAATACTTAAAAGATTACAATTTATTCCTGGAATATATGACACATCATTTGTCAAAGAGTCTCTACCATTCCTTCTCTCAATAAATACATCACTTATCCCTTCTGCCGCTAGAGTGGTATTATCTGTGAACTTCACTTTATTCTTCATGGCACGATTGATTGCAACAAACTAATATTTCTTCATCGTTATATAAGTAGAGAATCTGGAGTCCAAATACCATTTCTCACTGCACCGAATTGCCTCTTTCGTAGGTATCATGATAGATGCATCTTCCTGTAACTGGTTACAGTATATAGGTAATTAGTTACAACTTAAATTTACAATTTTCTTCAAACTATTGTTGCACTGATCTTGCATCCTACTGCAACATTCCTCTTTTGTGATCATGATCAAGAGAGTGTTCTCCTCGTCAAAAACTTGTCTTGCAACCTTGACTTCATCCACTTAAGGTTCCTTCTTATTTGTATTGCACTCTCTTGCAAAGTGATTAAACTTTTGACAACCAAAGTGTTATGTCATGCTCTTGTCAATCCTTCTCCTATCACCTCTAAGTTTTCCTTGACCACCATTCTTGTTGCAGTTGCTCTCACCCTCTTAACAAGTCAAATTGGAACTTTAGGACTCTCTTCCATCAAAATTTTGAAAATTCCCTCTACTTTTCATGGGTCATTCTCCCATTGATTTCCTGTCTTTCTCATTGAAACGAGCTTGCAAAGTGATCTCTGTCTTTGTTTTATCATTATTTCTCTCCTCCATCCTTTGCTCATGTGCCTCAAAAGAGATTTATACCTCCTTTTTGCTCATTGTTGAATGATCATTCGATTCATCAATCACTATGACTATGTTATTGAATCTTGTTGTCAAAGAACACAAGATTTTTGCGACAACATACTGTTATGTGATCGTTTGTCCACATACTTTTACTTGGTTCACCAATCAAGTAATTCTCATCGTGAAATCATTTATGGTCTTCTTCCCTTCCATATGAATCAACTCAAATTGACGTTTGTGAGTTTATCACATCACAACCTTCACCTTATCAGCCCCTGCGTATGTCTTCTCCAAGATTTCTCACGTTTGCTTCAATGATTCACAATCACCAACTTTCTCAAAATTATATGTATCAACGCATTACTGGATTAAAAACAACGCCTTGAAATCTTTCTTCTTTTCTTCCTTATGTGATGCTCGTTGTGCATCAGTTGCATCTTCGACAAGAGGATTCACATCGTTCTTGATCACTTCAAGAACATATTGGTAGCCAAACAACATCTTCATTTGCTTGCACCATTTATCGTAATTATTTGCATCAAGGATGAGTCGGTTTACAAAGATTCTTTTCTTGGAGGAGAATTCATGTTGCACACTAGGTGTTTGATGGATCATACCAGACTCTTGATGTCAAATGTTAAAACTTGAAACTACAAGGTTGGTGAAAATTGAGAAATTGAGTGTGGAGGGGGAGAGAGTGAGAGAGAGAATTAGATAGAGTATAATTGAGGGTGAGAATGCTCATTAATATTGATTGAGATGTCCCTTGAATATTTATACAAATTACAATTGCTTTGAACACAAGTAATAAAACTGAAAAATTGAAACTAACTACATGTATCTGGTTATACAAAACCTGTAACCAACTATAATTGTTTACAATTAATTTTCAACTTAGTGGTAATTGATTACCAAAAAACGGTAACCAGTTACACCTATTTCAACCGTTAAAGTTACTATACCATGTAACTGATTATCAAAATATAATAACCGGTGGTTACAGTTGTTTCAACAATTAATTTTCAATTAAGTGGTAACCAATTATCAAAATACAATAATTGATTACACTAATTTCAACAACTAAAGTTATTACACCCTATAACCGATTACTAAAAAGACAATAACTGTTACAAGACTTGAATGATTGATGTTTTCACAACATTGACTGAGTGAAGTGCTATTGTTTTCAATTTAAGATTGCTGAACTTTTTAGGTATCATTCTATACCACCTTTATCATATCCACAAATTGTATTTAGGCTGTTTTAATAATATATTTTTAGCTTATTTTTTTCTAAAAGTGCATGGATACTTATCTCGTTTTAAAGTATGGGGACTTGATAAGCTATCTCAATTGCTTGTATAGGACTCTTCCTAAGCCCAAACTCATCATAACAAGGTTTTGATAAAGGGGAGTGACATGAGAGGGGAAAAAGAGGAAAAGAATTATTGGAAAATCTACATTAAACACTACTACATTCTATGCATGTCATATACATGTGCAATTAAGAACACCTTGATCCCGTTTTAGCATCTCTTTGCTGTATGTAACAATTATTATAATTATAATAATACGAGATTTACATTTCTTTATATTTTTTAAATAACAATGAAAGGCTGGTTTCAGTTCTGCTTGGCATGTAACCCATGTGAAACCACATAAGCAAAATTTTCATATTATATTTTTCCCAATATATCACCCCTTTGGATTCCCATAATGAACACACAAAAATATAAAAGAAGAATATAACAGCCATCAAATAATTGAGTATCATGATGATCAATTCATTATTTTTGAAAAATATTTTTAATAAAATGCACTTCACTGGGAAGCTGCTATTTCACATGTCTTCCATATGGTTTAGTAGTATATGTGGCAAATGTGTTATAGGACAACTGAAACGGTAGTAGTACTACTACTAGTAATAGTAATGTTTATTTATCTCTTTACCTAAATCCAACACTCCACATGCTTGCATGTGAATATTGTAAGAGAGAAAAGATGTAAAAACAAAAAGTAATCAATTTTGATATGAAAGAAATGGCAGTTGATGGGATCTCATAGTCTCATCATGCCATCATTGATTAACTTCACCACTTTGCACCCATTTTCTTTTGTTTCATATATAATTCCTTTTATAGTTTATTAAATTCTATCTTAATGCCCCTATTCTCATAAGAAAAAGACCATAACATTAAAAAAATAGTTTATGTAGCACTAGTAATTTTTGTTACATTGCTTTGTATATATGATACTTGTAAAATGGATCATTGGTTCTAATACTTCTTTAGGGTTAGATTTTGCTATTAATATAATAAAGTGAAGTACATAAATGTTCTTGTTAATCCTAGCTTTAACCATACTTTAAAGTTTGGCCACTTATGTATTAATATCTTAATCTTTGTCATAGTTAGAACTTAGAAGTTACCCTTTTAAGTCCACTTAAAAATTCAACTCTAATAATCATGATACACACTTGAAGTAGCTTAATAAATATTTTTATTGAATGCACTGTCATGGACCATGGCAAGAAACTTTTAGTTTAGATATTTTTTATTAACTTCCCAAAAGGAAAAGTTCTGAAAACATTCATCCTTAAAACTTAAATGAGTTTAAAAAGTCTCCTTAACTATGTAAGTAGCATAATAGTTGCATTTCCAAACTCTTTTTATTACTGCATCATGAAGCAGTGACATAGCCACAAATAGGAGATTCAACGCAAAGAAGTAATAGAATATAATGACATGTGTGTTCGTATTGTACGAGTGTCAAACACTAGACAAGTTTTTAATTTGAAGTGTTTTTTTTACTTTTTTTTTTTCCTCTTGATATCTTTGTGTTGAAGAGTCTCATCTTAAAATGGATATAGTATAATCATGAGTTTATAAGTAGAAGTAATCATCATCTTAAAGATTGTTTTTAAGAAATAAGTTAGGTCTCCCCACATATTTTTTAAATGGTCTATCCAAGATCTGATGTGAATCTATTATCAGATTTTCGCTATCGGACCACCTATTATTTATATTCACGCATCAGATGTCGAGTACTAAACGTGAGAGGGGTGTTGGAGATTCTCACATTGAAAATGATATGGTGTTAATATGTGCTTTTAAGTGGAGACTATCTTCGCCTTAAAGTCGATTTTAAAAGAATGAGTAAGGCCCCCAAAACATTACTTTGCTAGAGGTGTAAAAAGGAATCCATAGTAAACAAATAGGAGAGAAAAAGAATCGGCTTGAATAAAAGATAAAAAATACATCTCTATTCCTTATTCAAGTTGACAAGGATAACACATAGAAGAAGAAGTAGGAACTAAATGTCATGAAGGGTCACATTCTCTCCCATGTTTTATGTCGGAGAAACTTCTAATAATTCCAAACCTTCCCTGTCAATTATAACATTATTATCTGCTAACAAATACCAATCCATAAAACCTGACAAACCTTAAACAAATCACCAAAACTAATCAATGCTTTATGACTAACCTAACCTTATTAATATCCATAAAACCTCTCTACTTCCAATCACTTCCCACTTCCTTATCACAAACAGGAGATACATCACTCGCTCTCAGTGTCATGTCAACTCTACAACACCAATGTCCTTCATTACAGAATTCAAATGGTGGAAAACTGAGACACTAATCAATCACAACAACAAGATGCAGATGAAAAATCAGTTTTTCTTCTTCTTATTCATCTGTTGCTTTTCTGCTGCAGAAAACAATGAACAATCTGCATTACTTTCTGTAAAAGCAGGTCTCGTTGATCCATTGAATAGTTTACATGATTGGAAGGATGCAGGTGCAGCACAAGCTCATTGTAACTGGACAGGTGTCGAATGTAACTCGGCCGGAGCTGTAGAGAAGCTTAATCTCTCACACATGAACCTTAGTGGAAGTGTTTCCAATGAGATACAAAGTTTGAAAAGTTTAACTTTTTTAAACTTGTGCTGCAATGGATTTGAGTCATCACTGTCAAAGCACATAACCAGTCTTACCTCACTCAAGAGTCTCGACGTGAGCCAGAATTTCTTCACCGGGGACTTTCCATTAGGCCTTGGAAAGGCATTGGGACTCGTTACGTTGAATGCATCGAGCAACAATTTCTCTGGTTTTCTTCCTGAGGACCTCGGAAATGTCTCTTCCTTGGAGACACTTGATCTTAGAGGAAGCTTCTTTGAAGGTTCTATACCTAAGTCTATCTGTAACTTGAGTAAGTTGAAGTTCCTTGGTCTATCAGGAAATAATCTCACCGGGAAAATCCCAGTTGAGATTGGAAAACTTTTGTCGCTGGAGTCTATGATCATTGGTTATAACGAATTTGAAGGCGCTATTCCAAAAGAGTTTGGAAATTTAACCAAGCTGAAGTATCTTGATTTAGCAGAAGGTAATTTTAGTGGTGAAATTCCTGCTGAGTTGGGAAAGCTCAAGTTATTGAACACAGTTTTCTTATATAAGAACAGTTTTGAAGGAAAAATCCCACCAACTATTGGCAACATGACTTCATTGGTGCTGTTGGATCTCTCAGATAACATGTTATCAGGAAACATTCCGGCCGAGATTAGTCAGCTGAAGAACTTGCAGCTTCTGAATGTCATGAGGAACAAGCTATCTGGTCCTGTACCTTCTGGTCTTGGAGATTTGCCTCAACTAGAGGTGCTTGAGCTATGGAACAATTCGTTCTCGGGGCCATTGCCTAGTGAGCTCGGCAAGAATTCGCCATTGCAGTGGTTGGACGTTTCGTCCAATTCACTCTCTGGCGAAATTCCAGAGACCCTTTGCACTAAGGGAAATCTCACCAAGCTTATACTTTTCAACAATGCATTCAAGGGTCCAATTCCAACAAGCCTATCAAAATGTCCCTCGCTCGTTCGTGTTCGGATTCAAAACAACTTTCTTTCTGGTACAATCCCTGTTGGTTTTGGTAAGCTTGGGAAGCTTCAGAGACTAGAATTGGCTAACAATAGTCTCACCGGTGGAATTCCGAACGACGTTGCTTCTTCCACGTCTCTTTCTTTCATTGATTTCTCCAGAAACAATCTCAGCTCTTCCATTCCTTCGACTGTTATTTCCATTCCAAATCTGCAAACGTTCATGGTCTCCGAAAACAACCTGGAAGGTGAAATTCCAGATCAATTCCAGGACTGTCCCTCACTCGGAGTCCTTGATCTCTCATCGAACTTCTTTTCTGGAACCATTCCAGAAAGCATTGCTTCATGTCAGAAATTGGTGAAATTGAGCCTACAGAACAACCGATTGACCGGTGGCATCCCAGAAGCAATAGCAAGCATGCCTACATTGTCTATTCTTGATCTTGCTAACAACACTCTAACTGGTCAAATACCTGGTAGCTTTGGCATATCTCCGGCTCTCGAAACATTCAATGTCTCATACAACAAGCTAGAAGGTCCTGTCCCAGAAAATGGCATGCTAAAAGCAATCAATCCAAATGATCTTGTGGGAAATGCTGGCCTATGTGGTGGCTTCTTCCCTCCATGTGGAAAAACCTCGGCAAACTCATTAAGGCACGGAAGCTCGCATGCAAAGCACGTTATTGTAGGATGGATAGTTGGAATCTCATCAATCTTAGCCATTGGAGTTGCAGCTTTGGCAGCAAGATTTATATACACGAAGTGGTACACCGAAGGATTGTGCTTCCAAGGAAGATTTTATAGAGGTGGCAAAGGGTGGCCTTGGAGACTGATGGCATTTCAGAGACTTGATTTTACGAGTACCGATATACTATCCTGCATCAAAGAAACAAACGTGATAGGCATGGGAGGAACCGGCGTTGTTTATAAGGCCGAGATACCACACTCAAGTACAGCTGTGGCTGTTAAAAAACTGTGGAGAACAGAATCCGATATTGAGGTAGGAAGTAGTAGTGACGATCTTGTTGGAGAGGTGAATCTTCTAGGGAGGCTAAGGCATAGGAATATTGTTAGACTACTAGGTTTTCTTTACAATGACACTGATTTGATGATAGTTTATGAATTTATGGTGAATGGAAACCTTGGAGATGCCTTGCATGGTAAACAAGCTGCGAGATTGCTTGTTGACTGGGTTTCCCGGTATAACATAGCTCTAGGAATCGCACAAGGACTCGCTTATCTTCATCACGACTGCCATCCACCTGTTATCCATCGAGACATCAAGTCAAACAACATACTGCTCGATGCAAATCTTGAGGCAAGGATAGCAGATTTCGGATTGGCCAAAATGATGATTCGGAAGAATGAAACAGTCTCCATGATTGCTGGATCCTATGGATACATTGCTCCTGGTGAGTTACTAGTTCATACAAGCTATTGACTAATTCTGCATCTACATTTTCATCAGGTAAGAAATGTTTCTTCACTGTTATATTTACAAAAGTTTAACCATTTCAATGCTTTAAATTTGGCAGAATATGGATACTCCTTGAAGGTAGACGAAAAGATTGACATTTACAGCTTTGGAATAGTTCTGTTGGAGCTGATAACAGGAAAGCGGCCGATAGATCCGGAGTTTGGAGAATCTATCGACATTGTTGGGTGGATTAGAACGAAGATAGACAAAAATTCTCCAGAAGAAGCATTAGACCCAAGTGTAGGAAACTGTAAACATGTTCAAGAAGAGATGCTTTTAGTTCTCAGAATAGCACTTCTCTGCACTGCTAAGCTACCTAAGGACAGACCCTCCATGAGGGATGCCATAATGATGCTAGGAGAAGCAAAGCCAAGGAGAAAAAGTGGTAAGAACAATGATACATTAACTGCTAACAAAGAGATGCCAATAATTAGAACATCACCAGATAATGACCTTCTGTAAGAACCAAACTTTTTCGACGACAGCAACCGAAATCTTCCATTGTTGTTAGATCTGTAATTTTGTAATCAACTTAGAGTGGCTTACATTTGCTCTCAACATATGTATATCAAGATGGATTAGTTTTTGCAAACCATTGTTTGAGTGTTTCATGAATTCGATGTGGCGGCATATATTTAAGCCAGAAAACCAAATAAAACATTTGCACTTCACATTTACACAACATTCAGAAATACTCTGATTTGTATGATTAGTAGTATTACATTAAAATTTATGATGCCTGCATCATCCAAGTGATGATTTTATAGAGGCAGTGATAGATATGTCAAGTTAAACAAACAAAAACTGAATCCAGAAAGCTGAAACCAAAAGAAAAACACACACACAAGATTTTATCATTTGAAACTCAAAATCCATTTACTTGCTGTACTTCATTACTTTTTTGTTTTTTGTTTTTGTTTTTCCTCCTTCTTCTATTTGTGTTACATATAAGGTGGATAAGTAAGTTCTTATCCTTAGCCATGAAAACAATATCTATTTTGGCTTGCTTTTCGGTCTGCTGCTCTTTTCTTCCAATCTTGGTGCTGCAAAAGAAGAAATCGAATCAGAAAAAATAAAAATGTATAGAGTAAGTTAAGTTGCGTTTGGTATAATAATGAATTTTCTTACCAAGTCCATTAGCCTCGGATGTCCTCATGATTCTTAGCCTCTTCACGGAACTAAGGAACATTCTGAATGTGATTCGAACAAGAAAGATTAATAAGCAGAGAAAACCGAATATACAACTGAATATACCCTAAGTATTAAATCACAAAAATAGAATACTATTTTACTTACCCCCAAGGAACATCTCCAACAAGCATCCAATCTCCTTCCTTGTCTTCATAAGTGAGTACAAACTTAGAAGATCCATCCAACAGTATTGAAAGCTTTTCTCCTCTGATAGTCATGTTGTGATCCTCCCCGTTTGATCCTATTGACCGCGATGGCAACACCGTTAGGGAAAAAAAGTGATAGAACATATCAAAGACGAAAACATAAAATGAAATGTTTTTTTCAGAATAGGAATATGATATACAGACAATAATACCTTTGCAAGTGACGCCTGTCGATGATTCGTCAAACATGTCCTCCAATATCTCTGCCAATGTTTCGTAGGAACTGTGAGCGCTCAAATCAACCTTCCTTCCAATCGGTATCCCATCCATATTTACTTTGACAAACGGGGAACTCCTGAGGTTTCTTTTATCTTTGACATTAACGTTATTTTCATCCTTTCCGTTGTCAGTACTCTTCCTTGCCACGGTATTATTGTTCTTGTTCTTCTCAGCCACAGAGTTGAATGCTTCAGTTGATTTCACATTGGCATTAAAGCTATTCACTCGATATGTTCGAAGGGGCGGCCATCCAACTACTTGACTGTTCGGTAAATTCAATCACAAAAGAAACGAGAAAACCATTAGTAGCTGAATCTATTTGTAAACGAAATCTACGGATTGTAGATTAATCAATGAAACTGGATCAATAATCAATCAATGAAGAATCAAATACCATGTAAGTTCAGTTAAATTAATGAAAAATTAAAGCATTACTGCTATTCAGATATCAATATTCCAACCCTGAGAATTAATGATGTGAATTCATCACACATGTATGCAACCAAATGTGTCTAGATCATCATCCTTAAACATAATTAATTACTTCAAAATTCTACTACCATTCCTCTTCACAGTTTCTATAAACTAAACCCTCTTTCTTTTTCTTTCTTTTTTGCGCGCAAAGCTGTGTTTGAACTGACCCAACATCAGAATTGTTAGCAGCTAGAGAGATTCAAACCTAAGACATTGAGAGGAGCACACTCTCGTGGCCTAAGCCTTCACCAACATCACAAACAGGCCAACCCCTGAACCCCTGGGTTTAACTAAACCCTCTTTCAGATTGCATCAATACAGAAACAAAAGCAGTTCTCAAAACCGATCAAATAAAATCAACTAGGTTTTCTTAACCCCTCACTAGTTAGTCTCTAAACATCACAAACCTATTCTAACCTATTGAATTGAACTTCCTAAGAAAAGCAACAGCATGTGATCCATAATTCCATAAATTAGCAACAACAACAATAACAACAAGAAAACTAAAACCAAATAAATAAAGCAAGATAAATGAAAATTAAGATGATAACAAACCTGGGACGGTTGGTAGCATCAAGAGAATCAGCAGGTCTCTTAGTTCCAGCAGAGGAAGGTGAAGAAGAAGAAAAATCCTTAGCAGTAAAAATCCTAGCATAGTTACCATGATGATGATGATGATACTTTGCAGGATGAGAAAGACTCAACCCAAGACCCAATTCAAGCTCAGACTCATCCGGGCTAGAAGAATCCTCAGAAGAAAGAGCCAAGTTATCATCTTTAGAACCCGTAGACATCGACCCACCAAAATCAAACGAACTGGGCTTCAAAAAAATCAGATTTTTATGAAGAATTAGGAGAAAAAACGAGAAAGGGTGTCTGAATTTGAAGAGAGTAATAAATGGTTGTTAGGTGAGAAAAATGATGATGGAATGTGAAGGAGGAGGAGAAGAGAAATGAAAGGGCAGTGTGGACCCCACCTGTCTGGTTTATTGCTAGAACTCAAATGCTTAGTTTGTTTGTTTTGTGCGTCCATCAATCAATGCTTTTGTTTGCTTTAAATTGGTGTACTAGTACTATTATTACTACTTTTGTTTTTTTCTTTCTCCTTCTTCTAGATTCTCTCTCTCTTCTTTTTCTTTGTCTGTACTCTACGCTCTCTCCCACCAGATTAACGTTTTTTTCCTTTTTCAATTTCTCATTCTCATATTCAATCATTCATTTTCTTATTTGATAAAAAAATCACTGTTAATTTAAAAAATTTATATACAAGTTAAGAAATACAATGACTTTGTCGTAAGATTTTTTTTTTTTTTAAATTAATTCTATTAATATATTGAAAATAACGTAGAAAGTAAAAATAAAGAGTATAATTAAAAAATAATTATTATTACTATATTAAAAAATGAGAATGATAATTATTTTAAAATAATTTTTTTTTACTATAAAAAAATCATTTTGAAACATAATGAGTAATACTTAGTTTGGTAAATACTACAAAGTCATTTTGTAGACAACTTACTATTATTTTTGGTTTAAAAATTCATATAGTAAGTAAAGTGAAATTATTGTTTGTATCAACTTAGATAAAAAAAAATAGAAAATGATTTTCATTGTATCAATCTCACAGTTGAAAAATATTTAAAAGTACAATTACTCTGATTGTAAATTTGTTTGTGTTGGAAATCCACCAAATTTTATGATGAATTTCTACCACAATAAAAATTTAATTATGAGACAAACAAATAAAAGAAGATAAGACAAATAATTTCTGCATAGTTTCTCTCTGCTCACAAACTGTGAAAATTTTCTTATTCACTTTACAACTGCAAAATACTGTGAATGACTTGCTTACAAAAAATAGGGGTTACTCCCTCTATTTATAATTGAGCTTACACCCTAAGTTCAAAGCTCAAAATATCTATTTTGTTACTAAATCAAATCTAGTCTATTCTAGACTTAAATCAAATCTATTTAAATCTAAAACAAATCAAATTTTTTCGACACATAGTTTCGACACACTGAATTACAATTTAACACACCACATAATCCATTGTGTCTAAACTATTTATGTTCATCATGACTCTTAGCTTTCTGAATACTTCGACTTGCACTCCCTTCGTCATGATGTCTGCAATCTGATTCTCAATTCTGTAGTGTTCCAAATTCATCTTCCCATCTGCTACCTACTCTCGAAGATAATGGAACCTCATTTCGACGTGCTTACTTCAACCATGTGCTATTGGGTTCTTCGTCAGATTGATAGTTGACATACTGTCGATCTTCATGGTAATTGCTCCATGATCTTTCCCTGTTATCTCTTCGACCAAGTTCACCATCCAAGTTGCTTGACATGCACAAAGAGAAGCAGCTATGTATTCTGCTTCGCATGATGATAATGTCACTACTGGTTCCTTTCTTAAATTCCAAGCAACTAGTGCACCACCTAGCATAAACACATATCCTGCTGTTGATTTTCGATCTTCGGCATCACTACACCAACTCGAATCAGTGTATCCCACTAACTTGCATTCTTTTCCTTTATCAGCTGCAGGAAACAAAATGCCATAATCAAAAGTTCCTTTGAGATAACTCAGTATCCTTTTTACTGCTGCTAGATGTGATACTTTTGGCTTCTGCATGAATCTACTTACCATACCTACATTGTATGCTAAGTCAGGCCTTGTATAACAAAGATATCTTAATGATCCAATAAGTCTTCTGTATTGGGTTGGATCAACATCATCTTCATCTGCATCTTTCGACAGTTGCAGTCTTGGTTCTGCCGATGTCGAAGTTGAGTTGCATTCTTCCATCTCAAATCTCTTGAGAATTTCTCCTGCATATCTTCTTTGATGCATCATCAAACCTCTACTTCTCTTGTAGAATTCGATACCAAGGAAATATGAAATCTCACCTAAATCAGACATTTTGAATTCCTTGCTGAGATCATCTTTGAAGTATTCGATCTCACTCTTGCAGCTACCTGTTATCAAAAAATCATCTACATAGAGACATAGTATAAGTAATTCACTCTTGCTTCTTCTTACATATACTCCATGTTCAGTTGTGCACTTTACAAATTCCTTCTCCCTTAAGAAACTATCAATTTTCTTATTCCAAGCTCTTGGAGCTTGTTTCAATCCATACAGGGCTTTATGCAGCCTGTACACCTTTCTTTCTTCGTCATGATTCACAAACCCACTTGGTTGTTTAACATAAACTTCTTCTTCTAAGGGTTCATTTAATAATGTACACTTCACGTCCATCTGACATCTGTGTCAACTGTTTATTTCTTCTAGACCAACAACCAACCTAATTGTTTCGATCCTAGCAACAGGTGCAAAAACTTCATCGAAGTTTATTCCTTCTTTTTGTAGAAATCCTTTCGCCACAAGCCTTGCTTCGTGTCGAGTTACTTCACCTTTCGAATTTGTTTTCACTTTGTATACCCACTTGACATCAATTGCCTTCTTGCCTTGAGGCAATTCGACAAGTGACCAAGTATTGTTCTCTTTGATAGACTTCACTTCTTCGTTCATTGCTTTCACCCACTTCGAATCCTTCAATGCTTCAGTTGTATTGACAGGTTCGACATCTGCATAGAAAGCATAATGTATCGGCTCACCTTCATTATCTATTACATCATCTGATGTAATCACACAATCTTCAATATTGCAGGCATGCGTCTTTTTCTTTGAGGCCTGCTTGTACTTGGTATATCTGATGGTTCCTCTTGTCGAACTTATTTTTCGACTTGAGTTTCTGGCTCTTCAAGTAGGATTCCCACTGAATCTTTCTTGACATTTTCAGTCTAATCCCATTCTTTAAACTCATCTATGATCACGTCCTGCTGATCACAATCTTCTTTTTCACTGGATCGAATAACTTGTAGCCTCCTGTCGAATGATATCCAACTAGAATCATTTAACTTGACTTATCATCAAGTTTTCTTCTCAACTGATCTAGCACATGTCTATGTGCAATAGATCCAAATACCTTTAGATGACTCAAACTAGGCTTCACACCAGACCAACATTCTTCTGGAGTAATTTATTCTAGCTTCTTTGTAGGACATCTGTTCAAAATGTATGTTGCAGTCGAAACAACTTCACCCCAAAACTCTTTAGGTAAATTCTTGTCTTTCAACATACTTCGTACCATATTCATGATGGTTCAATTTTTCCTTTCTGAAATTCCATTTTGTTGTGGAGTATAGGGTGGCACCACCTCATGCACAATCCCTTCTTTTTCACATAGCCTGTCGAAGTCTTTCGACACATATTCTCCACCACCATCAGTTCTTAAAACTTTGAGCTTTCGACCATTTTGTCTTTCGACCATAGACTTAAACTTGGCAAATACTTCGATCACTTCACTTTTCTTCTTGATCAGGTAAGTCAATAGCTTTCGACTTAAATCATCTATGAATGTAACAAAGTATTTGTTACCTCCCATCGAATCCACTTGGATTGGTCCATATACATCAGAGTATATGACTTTAAGACTAGCCTTCTATTTGCTTCCTGCATCCTTGCTGAAGCTATTCTTGTGTTGCTTCGCCTGCACACATTCCTCACATACCTCGTTTGGAATGTCGATTTCTGGAAATCCTGAAACCATATTTCTTCTCTTCAAATCTCTAATGTCTCTGAAGTTGAGATGGCCTAGTCTATAATGCCATATCCTTTCATATCTGCTAGCTGTAGTCGAAAGGCACTTGTGCTCCATCACATTTAGTTCAATCTTGAAGGTTCAATTCTGACATAGGAGCCTTCAAGATTAATCTCCCATTTGCATCAATGACTCTCATCATCTTATCTTCGATTGACACTTTATAATTCTTTTCGACCAACTGCCCTATACTGAGCAAATTGATCTTCATGCCTGGTATGTACAACACATTGGAAATTACTGACCTCTTGCCATCTTTCCTCATAATCATAACATCAGCAATACCTTCAGCTGCTAGGGTATTATCATTTGCAAATTTTACCATATTTTTCATTGAGGGCTTTATATTGACAAACCAGTCTTTCCTTCCAGACATATATGATGAACATCCTGAATCCAAGTACCATTGATCCTTGAATCTATCTTCATATCTTGTTGTGACCATCAGTATCATCTCTTCTTCTTCATGTTTTATAAGCTTTGCATCACTTTCTCGATTCTTTCGTTTTTCTGGACAATCACTCGAATAGTGACCATACTTCTGACAATTGTAACATTGAATGTGACTCTTATCAGGTTTTCGACCAGCACCTCTTCCTCTATTTGCAACACCACCTCTTTGGTTGCCTTGGTGTGGTTTTCTTTGATTCGACATGTTTCCTTCGATCTGGTTTTCTATACCATTCGATTTGTTGTAGCCACTTCTACCTCTATCAAAACACTTTCCTTTACCTTTGGTCTCTTTTGCTGAATGTGCCTGCAAGGCCACGTCACTCTTCGATTTGCCTGCAGCTCTTTCATTCATTCTTTGTTCATGAGATTCAAGCGTACCTTGAAGCTCCTCCTTTGTTAATTTCGACAAGTCTTTCCCCTCTTCTATCGCCACCACTATGTGGTCGAACTTAGGAGCTAAAGATCTCAAGATCTTCAAAACAACAGCTCTTGTTGTTAACGTTTCTCCACATATTTTGATTTGATTTACTAGTTTTGCAACTCTAGTGAAGAAATCAGATATGCTTTCACTGTCTTCCATCTGAAGCAGTTCATACGTCCTTTTGTGAGTTTGTAACCTCACTTCTTTCACCTTCTCAGTGCCTCCAAAATATTTCTCAAGGATCTCCCA